ATATATAGATATATACTTATGTCTTTTCTGTACTATAGGGCGAGGGCAACACAAGGAGAGCATTGGGCGGCCGATTGTCCGGTCGATTGTCGTCCATGCAGTCTAGTTTCAAACGGAGTGTAGATAAGCTGAACAAGAGCAGTACCTTTAGTGGAGATAACTCAGGCAAACTGAGCGACTTAGAGCCGGACGCGACAGTAGTCAAGACATCTCAGGTGGGTGATTTAATGAAGTGATTGTAGTTATGTGGTGCAGGTAGTTGAACAGTTCTCAATGCGTGTATACAACGATCTCAGATAAAAACAATTTGCTGTTCTGGGTCCGTGTACAGGACGATCCCAAGTAGGTTTATGCAATACTCTCAGGATTTACCTATGTATGTTAGGTTGTAGATGACCCTCTGAGAAAACATACTTTATCTCAGCTATGTATGTCAGGTTGTAGATGACCGTGTGAGAAGTGTAAACATACTTTATCTCAGCTATGTATGTTAGGTTGTAGATGACCGTGTGAGAAGTGTAAAACATACTTTATCTCACCTATGTATGTTAGGTTGTAGATGACCCTGTGAGAAGTGTAATACATACTTTATCTCAGCTATGTATCTTAGGTTGTAGATGACCCTGTGAGAAGTGTAAACATACTTTATCTCAGCTATGTATGTTAGCTTGTAGATGACCGTGTGAGAAGTGTAAAACATACTTTAACTCACATATGTATGTTAGGTTGTAGATGACCCTGTGAGAAGTGTAAAACATACTTTATCTCAGCTATGTATCTTAGGTTGTAGATGACCCTGTGAGAAGTGTAAAACATACTTTATCTCAGCTATGTATCTTAGGTTGTGTTAGGTTGTGTTAGGTTGTAGATGACCCTGTGAGAAGTGTAAAACATGCTTTATCTCACCTATGTATGTTAGGTTGTAGTAAGTGCATATCATACTTTCTCTCAACTATGTCTATTTAAGTTGTAGTTAGTGTTAAACATACTGTCGCTCATCTATGTATGTTAGGTGGTACAGGATCGTCTGAGAACTGATGCGGCCCAAGGAGCCGCGCAGATGACAACTTCGGTGGATGAAGTCCTCGTAGAACGAAGTGGTGTGTATATTTAATGTACATAGAGTTGTATATACGTGTAATTATCATATGTAGGTCTATACGTCGTATATATGAAGTATGAGTTTGTATATACGTATAAGAACCTGTTTGTATTCATACAAATTTCTCATGTACTCGTACTTAGGTATAAGCATCATATTTTCGTACAGACGTTATGTATCATTTATTCGTATTCAAGTGCACGTATCATTTATTTGTATATAGGTATATGTGTCGTGTATATGTATATGCGTGTAGGTATCGTATATTTCTATACACGTATAGGTATGATTAATATCAAGCTACACTCATGCACACGCACCCGAGCGAGAAATTTGAGTCTTTAACGTATACGTTGTTTGCACCATACTTATAACCCAGGAGAGGATACCTTATTAACGGGATGAACACTGAACTTAGCGGTATCGGTTGTTTATAACACACTTATTTCCAGGCGAGGAAAACGTATTGACTGTGCGAGCATTGCGTGACATATCGGTAACCGTTGGTCCTAAGTCTCTGCTGGCCATTGTGGGGCCTGTGGGGGCGGGCAAGTCCACTCTGCTACTCACACTCCTGGGCGAACTATCTGCGGACAAGGGCAGCTCTACTGTACAGGGCACGGTATCATACACCTCACAGGTACGCGTATATGCTAGTTCCATCATAAGTAATACTTCAACTACATTAGATATGTCAATCCGTAGTATGCGACTCGTGGTTTGTGCAGAGATACATACGCAGGTACTAGGAGGGCACTTGTACTTTGCGATCACTTTCATTTTCAATTTTATATACTCGCTCTTCATGTGTTTTAAATTATTTTCTTTTGCATTGTATTGCATTGTGAATTCACAGGAAGTCTGGATCAATGGGGGTACTTTAATGTTGTATTTTAAAATATTTTCTGTTGTATTGTATCGTATTGTATTGTACATTCATAAGAAGTCTGGATCAAGGGGGTGCTGTGACACGGCACATTGTCTTTGCCTTGTCATCACCTTCAGTATTGAATCTTCTCTTGCAAAGTATTTTTTATTTTCTGTTCTGGTTTGTATTATATCGTAAATCACAGGAAGCCTGGATCAGTGGGGGCTCTGTACGAGACAATATTCTCTTCGGATTGCCATACGATGAGCAACGATACGCCGAAGTGGTGCGGTGCTGTTCCTTAGCGACTGATTTTATACAGTTTCCCGATGGAGGTGCGTTGGTCTATATATATATATACATGCACACACACACATACACACATATATATATATATACAATATATATATATATATATATATATACATATATATATATATAGATATATTTGCATGTATATATATAA